GTCAGACAGTGTTACATAGCCTGCAGTTGTGATGTATTTCTCAGCACATGTGAACACATCAGAATACTCAAATTATATAAATAATATAAGTCCAATAAATTAACAGTTATGCCACTTATATATTAAAATATGTCTCTTTGATGCACGTGTTTACATGTTTTACTGATGTAATGTTCGTCACTATCAAACCTCAAACAAGAAAAACACATAGTCATAACAAAGACATTCAAAATGATATGACAAATCAGAACTATATGTCTGAAACATTTCACTGTAAACTGCACAACATTAGAAGGAAACACGTGAAGAAAAGAAAAAAAGTACTTCCTGGACTTGTCACCACTATTAAAGCATCTTGATTAGTTTGCTAGAGTTCAAACTTTCCAGCAGTATGATGCAGTTGTTACTGTGATGTGGTTCAGCTGGTGCATAATGTGAAACTTGAAGCTGACTTAGTTTAAGATAAGTTTTACTGCAAATGTACATGTCATGTATTTATTCTATTTTAGGATTAAAACAGATATTTACACAAAGCACTGTTTCTTTACCACTAAAGAAAGCTTTAAAATTAAAAGAAAAACTTGATGACAGTGATGGTATCAATTCCATCTCTCAATCAGGCCAAACTATTATTCTTTATGCGGGCTGGCAGGCTTTAACATGCCCACGCTGTAAGGTCACCAGCACATTCACACCCACACACCCACATCTCGAGACAGATTGTGTGTTTTCAGCTCTCCTAGCTCCACGTCTTCATATTTCACTCAGAACGTTGTTAGAAACAAAACTGGCCATTTGGTACTTCTGATCCATTTTTGATGTGACAGTGTTTTCAGACACGGCTCTGATGTCTTCCTTTAAGATACAAAAGCTCATTAACTCTATAGTGCATTGTTAGGATGTGTGGGCGGGTGTGTTTGGCAGTGGAGTGGGTATGGGTTTCTTGTAAAAATAAAAATGTTGTCTCATTTCCCAAGAACATTCCTGCATTAATAATGCCTCTGACTCTCAGGAAGACTGAACCCTGGAATTTCCACACACTACATGGCATACTGTCACATCCTGCTTTTAGTTTTTTATTTCAAGTGCAGGAAATGCAGCGTATTCAGGATATGAATTCCTTGAAATTGAGATCATTTTGCCTTGAAATACGGATGAAGTGAACGTAGGGATGTTTATCACGAGTCACCTTGGGGAGGTTGAATTTGAGAAATACATGTCAAAATAAATACGAAATCTAGAGACCGAGTCACTGACTCTTCAAGAATGCAAAGATAGTGTGATGAAATTCTCCATGTTCTCTTGTGTGTGGCCCATGCAGAGACAGGATGAATAGAAACAGAACAAGGGTTTTTTTCAGAAGAGAGAATAAACAGCTGCACACAGCCAGTTGCCTTTAATCCAGCTGGGGTCAAAGGTTATTTGAAGAGTCCATCAGATGGGAGCAGAAGGAGAAGATAGAAGAAGATATGGAACAGGGGAGGCCCTGAAATACAAACAGGGGGCTTTGGTTAAGAAAACAAGCATTGAGATTCCAGTCATGTTGCTGAAACACTCCCTATTCAAAATAATCAAAAGAGGCATTACACACACTACTCTCTACTCTGAAGGCCAGGAGCCTTTTACACAATATCAGTGTTTCACTGCGAATTCAGAAGAAATAATAACATTTAGCTCCATCAAACAGAACTGAAATATTAAAAAGTATGTACAGATACTTCCTGTTGATGTTGAGAGGCTCGTCAGCTGCCTCAGAGTCATTTCCTCATCATATGGATTCAGTGTGTTCAGGCTATTACACGTCTGTCAACAAGTGATAATAATGTTGTGATAATGTGACAGTCCTTTTCTGGCAGTACAGCCATTTCAGGTTGACAAGACAATGGTCAGATATTATTTTCTCCGTTCTCTAAAATAAAGACATCATTAATTTTTGCCACAGTACATTATTACCTCTACCAAGGAGCTTATGTTTTCACCCCTGTCTGTTTGTCTGTTGATTGGTTTGTGAACAAGATTACACAAAAACAGCTGGATGGATTTCCATTAAACTTGATGGTAGGATGTGGTTTGGCTAAATGAAGAACCTAATACATTTTGGTGCAGATCAGGGGGTGAATCCAGGAATATTTTTCGCTATATTTTCATTGGTTTCCAAGAAATTAATTAATGGGTCTTGATTAAAAAAAATCCAGACCCTGTGGTATGTGCTCTACTGAGTGTAATACTATGTTCAAGATTATTTTGTTTATATAGAAGAGGAGAGAAGAGTTAACCAAACAAAGAGAGATCTCTTAGTCACACAAATCTATTTCCCCATCCTCTAAAAGAAAGACTAATTTATCTTTCCACAGTAGATTCTTTATTTGAGTGTCTCAAAATCTAACCTCAGACTATAAAACGAAACAAAAAGTAGCATGAGGAAATCCCCCTTCAATGTAAAAGGCACAAGAGTCTCACGAAAACCTCTCCAAATTCCATTTAACTCATTTATGGGTATCAGCACCGGTCATGCTAATGTGAATGTTCTTTGTAGACATGCCAGGATACAAGAACATTGAGTGGGACGATGAGGGGAATGAATGAGCTGTCTGCACAAATTAACTCCAGAGATGATATCAGGAACTCCAGGTGGCGACATTAACCCTTTAAATACATGTACATCTGAGTACATGTAGAGGAGTGACGTCACAGGACCATGCAGAGACTAATGACTTGTCAGAACACTGACAGAGTGACCTTGTACTTTCAGAGATAAACCCACATCAGCCGTCGTGTCCAGATGCTATTTCTCACCCACTCTCTATCTGTGTTATAAAACAGAGTGGGTATTTAATGTTTAACCAGTAGAATAACAAACTCTCACTTTGAAAACATATGAGTGTTATCTGTTTATTGTAATGTGATCATGGAAAATGCATGAGTCCAACCGAGATCCCTTTGTGTCCTCAGATTCTTCGGTCTCTGCTGACATTTGAAGCTGTTTTTTTTAATTTGGTGCAAGAGAAAAGATTCCAGTGGCTGGACACAGTGGACTGGGTTTTCTAGGATGGAGTTTTTTAGACAGCACATAAATAACACTCTGCCCTACTAGTTTCGTTGTAACCAAGTTGTTAAACTGTTGCGAAAGTGAGTCTCATACTCATTGGATAATTGGCAGAGGTTCATAAGGACTTCCGAGTAAAACCTCAACATGCTGTTATACAAAACAATGCATTTGTTTTTAAATTCCACTGTAGTTTGAATCTAGTTTCAACACACTGTCATTTCACTGCAGAAACCACAGTGCACCCTCACTCCCCCTGAGAGTTAACACTCTACATACCACAATGTTGAGAGACAAGATTAATTCCCCTGCCAAGGTCTGCATTCTTCCCATATTAATAAAACTGAGCACAGTTCATTTCTGGAATTCATGTTTGCCTTTTGGGAAAGATCTGTTATCCTGAAACTGAAACAAAAAGTGAGATGACTACAGAGATTGCAGACTTCCAGATACTTCTTTGTGCAAAACTTTGTGTGATAACATTGTAATGATTTTATTATTACAGCAAACATGCAACTTTCATTTTTTAATCAAATGTTAAGGGAGCAATGAGCATACTCTATGAAATGTATACATAAAAAATGTAGTCCTCTCTGTATAGAAAGGACATAAAATCTTTCCTTCATGGTTATTCTCCATATTTAAATCCAGAATGTATTTATAGAGATTAATGTGGAACCAGCTCATTTGCCCGACAACATACAACACAAAATCTTTGAGCTGCAAAGCAACAACAAGCTCAAGTTCTATCACTGTATATCCTGAGGATCTTCCATTATGACGAGCCATGCACTGAAGTTTGCGTTTGATAAACTGTCATCAACCTGGAAAACCAGCTGCAAGTATATCATCACTACCATCTGACATCAGATGCTTTGTCAAAGAGTTGGGTTCCAGCCATCGCATTTGTGAGGTTAGTGTGATATTAGTGTCTTCAGTTAATTGGTATGGCCCTTGAAGGACGTTATTAAACCTGAAATGGCCCTTGACAGGAAAAAGCATCACTTTCAGTATTAGCTGAGTGTAACATGTGCAGGAACCAGATAACAAACAGGAAGTATGGGATTTACTTTGGACAATTGAAAGGAGTCTACAAATAACAGGAAGAGTGTTCACTGTGAGTCATGCCAGAGATATAGAAAGTGCCTTGACTCCTCTGGTCCTGACCACTGGAAATCCCATTCAGAGGATCTCTTCCCTCATTAAAACCTCTGTTCTCTCTCTCAGTTTACTTGAAATGATCACAGTGTTAGCCTGGTCCGCTATCTCAGCCTCTCCATAACCTTTTCTTATTTGCAAAGGTCTTTCTTTGAGTCTGCGGTAATCTCTGCTTTCCATTGTAAAGTTGCTGGCCTAAACCATTCTGTCGCCCTAACTTTCTAATTTTATTCACCCCACCTTTTCCTTTTCAGTGTTTTACCCCCGACTTCTTTTAAATGCAATTGCTTTCTTCAGTTGGAATCTAACTCCTGGTGGTTTTTGAGAGTCTCAGCTGAGACTGAAGGTCTCCTTTCACAGTAATTACATTGTTTTGTCATTAATGTTTCGCACAGGGAGACCACTCCTGTAGAGCTCTGTCGTCTCCAAGAACAATCTCCCCTCACAGCCTGTCCCTTTGCTCGCCTGACGACCAAAAACAATTAGATCCATCCAGAAACTCACAGTTGTTGGGGGAGGATGAGTCAGAAGTGCTGTTAGACATCCC